TGAGGATATAGTTAAGAAAGAAAAACACGATGATAAATGCAAAGTTGATTTCCACCTACTTCTATCATGAAAAGTGACATTTCATCTGATGAAACAGATACAACAAGTTAAAATTGAAAACAAAAAGTCTCCAGCAAGCATATAATAAACATTGTCTTGGAATAGTCAAAACTACAGTAGCACTCTATAATCCCAAAATCCTTGGCGACAGAGACCATAATAGTTGATGACACAAACCATCCACTGTAAAAGACACGGCATCTGCCGTCATACAAAGCATGATCCACATAGAACACAATAACGCACTAAACACTAAACATCCATAATGGTTGGATCTTACAAATAAAAACTCGGAAATTGTGAAACTTGAACTCATACACCAACACAGAGTACCAAGACAGCCAAAAAACTTTGAGAAAAATTGTTAACCTTATCACTAGGTTAGCACCATCTATATGACAGTCTTGTAGAGCCACAAATGAGAACAAGAACAAAATTTACACTCGACTTGCCAGAATATGAGCAAACTCGTAAAGCTACCAACAACTGAACGCTAACCTCCTAGCCTCAAGAATCTGCTAGCTTTCATCTGCAACCGAAAAAACCACAGAGTCTTCTATGTTGCATAAACATGGCATTTCGGTTCTAAGCGAAGAGAGAGGCGAGCACGAGTAAGGCGAGCAACTTAACAATCACAGCTAGAAAAACCACTACGAGAAGGAATCAAAGCAAAATAACCTGGATTCAAGGTGAGACGAGCAACTGGTTCCGAGCAAAAACAAAGGCTAGCACGGCGAGATGAGCGACTTGGTTCTGAGCGAAGAGAGAGGCCACCAAGAGGAGAGCACGAGAGAAGAATCGGTGAACAGAGAACAAAAAGAGAGAGAGAGAGAGAGAGAGAGAGAGAGAGAGAGAGAGAGAGAGAGAGGCGAAACGAGTGGAGCGTAAGGGGATGGTGAAGCGAGCACGAGTAAAGCGTAAGGGAGCAGAGCAAAGGGTTCTGCAGCTGCGTAAGGGGGTGGCTTCTAGGGTTTCTAACAAAAGAAGGGCTATAGTGGAAATTTGATAAATCTATGAGGGCAATTCCGGCAATAAAAAAAATTCATTATTACCCTCTTCAGCTTGGCGAGAATGCTGAAATGCCAAGGCACCTCCTTGGCTGCCTTGGGCTTTTAGCCTTCAAAAGGCCAACTTTGGCTCAATGGGGTTTCTAAAAAAATTCCCCAAATACCAAATTTTAGCTCAAAGGCCTTTAGATGCCCAAAGTGGCTTGCCAAAGCTACTCCCAAACGCACCCTATATCTTCCAAACTTGACTTTGTCTCTTCTGGTTGTTTGAATCCCGATGGCAATCTCGTCACATTCCGATTATTCCATGAAAATTTTGGATGATTGCACCATCCCGAATTGTACGTATTGGAGTAGGGATTATTCTGTGATCTGTTAAAATTCCCAACAAAGTTAGAATTTTCATTAGGTTGTGCAAAAGTATTACCTACCTGACATTCTGTGCTAACATGTCCTCCACCGCAAAAATTGCATGTCATATTCTGAATTTTCATGCCTGAAACCCTCACATTATCTATCTTTTTGTTAAGTGCTTCAATTTACGCAGTAATTGCCATGAAAGCATCCACCTCATGAACTCCACTAGCTTTGCGCACTGGTATTCTCTCAGTAAGCCATTGATAACTATTGGATGTCATTTCCTCTAATAAGTTGTAGGCTTCTTTTGGTGTTTTATTATTCAAAGTTCCCCCTGCAGCTGCATCAATCCTAGAACGGAGATTTGTACTAAACCCATTATAAAAAGTTTGTACCTGCATTCATACGGGTAGTCCCTGATGTGGGCATCTCCTAAGAAACTCCTTGAATCTTTCCCATGCTTCATACAATGATTCATTATCCATCTGCATAAACTTAGTAATATCGTTACGCATTTTTGCAGATTTTGCAGGTGGAAAGAACTTATCAAGAAATTTTTGGGCCATATCATTCCACGCAGTGATCGATCCTGCAGGAAGAGAAGAGAGCCAACCTTTAGCTTTGTCTCTAAGGGAAAATGGAAATAATCTTAATTTAATAGCATCATCTGTAACTCCATTATATTTAATTGTGTCATAGATTTCAAGAAAAACATCAATGTGAGCGTTTGGATCATCGCCTAGTAGCCCACTAAATTGCACTGATTGTTGAAGTATCTAAATCAGTAATGGCTTGATCTCAAAGTTGTTTGCTTGAATTGCAGGTCTCCTGATGCTTGATGTGGTGCCCTCAACTGTTGGCGCAGCGTAATCTTTCAAGAGTCTACGTTGATTTCTACCATCACCAACTCTCTCCATCTTTTTAGTGTGATTTCTCTATTCTCTTAGTCGCCTTTTAAATGTACGTTCGATTTCTGGATCAAACTCAGCAAGTTTTCCTTGTTGGCTACGTGTCATACACCAATGTATATTCTAAAAACAGAAGAAGATAAAAGCTAGATTAAACTTAGAATTATCCGGTATCAATATTAATTGGTATTAAATAAACAATCCCCGGCAACGGCGCCAAAAACTTGTTCGTAAAATTCTGCACGTGTCAACGAACGTGTTGAACAAGTAATACAATGATGAGAAGAGTATCGTTCCACAGAGATTAATGATAATAAACCAATTAAATATTAAAAATAGACTAATTCTAAAATTTATCTAACATATCAAAATAGAATTGAGAATAAATAAAAATTGACAATTTTTAAATACGAAATTTTATAAACTAAAGGCAGATAATCAATAAGATAAAATATGTTAGAGCATCCGATTTCACCATAACCACTAGATATGAATTTCGGATCATTATGCATACAAGAACAATATCAAACATGTGATAGCGGAATTTCTAATCTATTTACTATCCTATCTCTAGGTATAGCAAACCTACTCAATTTATCAATTCACTATATTTCTATGTGAATTCAAATAAACATAAGTGCATTAAAATCTATGAATATTCCCGGTTTATAATGAATATTTTGGACCACCTTATCACCGAAAGCTACACAAATAACATGGTATATTTCTATCCACATTTAATTCATGGTTATATATTATAAGGAGCACTTGCATATTATCACTTCTCAGTCTCAAACTTGCACATCAGATCATTCAAGTGGTGGCCAGTCACATAAATGCATTAAGCACAATAATATATAACTCACATGAATGAAATTACTTGCAAAACATAAAAAGCATGAAATTCATATCATCATGGTTAGGCTACGTTGTAGCTCTAACAAAGAAAATTAGAACATAATAAAAGAAGAAACGAAAATATAAATTAAACCAAACATCTTGAATCAAAGAACAAGAATTCTGTCACCACTTTTGTCTTCTCTTCAAAATACTTGAAAAACTCTCAGAACACTGAAAACAAAAACGATCTAAAAAAAAACTAGCTATTCCCCCAAATTATCCTATTTATATGATAATATCCAAGACTCCTCTCACAAGGTAATTGCTTCTTTTTCACATAAAATTAGGGAATAAATCGCAGAATTCCCAATGAGATATCCACCTTCTAACTCTTCTCTGAGTAGCATATTCCTTTCCTTCTTTTTGCCATATTTTCCTAATTTTCTCCATATCTCAATATTCTACAAAGGAAAAATTAAGTAAATAAAAGGAAATCCAAATATATTCTAACAAATATTGCATTATTTATTGTCTAAAGTAGATAAAATAACTCTATGTTTATAGAGTTGTCACCGGGCGGTCCGGTTCCCGGTTCCAAGGAGGAACTGGACCGGACCGACTATATATATATTTTAATTTTTTTTCAAAAAATTAGTAAAATGTGAACTAAACCCTATGTGAACTTCATCGAAATATATTCATTGACAAAAATTAGTAAAATGTGAGCTAAACATGAAGTGAACTTTATTGACGTAAATTCATTGACAAAAATTAGTAAAATGCGAACTAAACCCTAAGTGTTTGACCAAAAAAACTAAATCCTAAGTGATCGGTTCCATTGGACCGAACCAGAAGCAGACTGGACAACCCGGTTTTAGGACCAACCGGTCCGATCCCCGGTTCCACCTTGGAACCAGATCGGACCGGGAACTAATCACCTCTAATTCAAACGATGTGCATCGATTAGTTATGTTAAAGGCACAATGCCATGTTGAAGATGCGAAAATGTTGATGGGACTCGCAGCGGAATGAAAGCATAAAGCTGCAGAAACAAGCATCTATGCTTAGATCCAAGCTGATGAAAGTAAAATGTACCATTTTCGAGGAGCATTTTGAGAAAGTACAGGTCCGTCAGAGAGCAAATCGAGAAGCCTTTCGAGATGTGCAGATCCTAGAGGGACCTGGTTACGCGACATTCTTCTTCTGTAGATGGTTCATATGTGTAGTCTGGGATCGCTGGTACAACCATTGAAGAAGATGTGTGACGTGCTGAGCTGATGCAACATTTTCTCGATTGCCTGCACATCGAATGAAGCATTCACATCTCCGCTACCCTCACCTTGTTGCACATGTTGGTGCTTAACCTCCTAACTTTCTGCGCCATGAAATTGCACTAGGAATGGTTCTATTAGGAATAAAACCAGGCTTGACAGTTTTTCGAGGGACATTATTTGAACAGCAGTTGGATTTCCGGTGCAGGAGTAGTAATTTTTGAGAAACGTAACAGGAGACGCATAATTAAGACCAGAAGACAGAAAACTATGGAAAGGAATTAGCTGATGGTTCAATTTTCTGTGTATGACACAGCCACTTCATTGGACTCGAAAGGTATTTCTAGGTTTAAGTACTTTGGGTTAGACTGACAGCGTTTCTGTATAGAGTTCCTAGTTCCTAGGAATCAACTCTTCACGAGGTAGACTATAAATGCCATAGTAAACTCAGCCCTCTTATTTGTATAACCATGGTCAACAGAACTTATGGAGCCACTTGGAACACTGACTAGAGATTGAGAATCTGACAAGAAAGAGTGGACATTGTGGTTCAAAGATTGTCTGTGCACACATCAAACTGAGATCACATTGCGCAAAATTTACATAGGATTTACACATTTCTAGTAAGACAACAATTGAAGTGTGCCCTTGATGACAGTCTTGGCTCAAAGCAAATCCAATTCAATCCCCCAAAGAATCTTGCACCCTCACACCTCTGTACAGATCGCTGCTCACTGCTTATTGTGGCAAAAAACTAGAGAACAAATACTTCAATCTTTTGCACGGTTACATACAGTCATGGCATTCATCAAATGGCCACTGCCCCTCTGGCTAATTCTCGGTGGATCACATACCGAAACGTCGAATTATGAGGCATCCAGTTGACGTACTTGTCAAGCCTTCCCTTCATGCACTTTTGAATAGTCTTCTGCTGGACTTCCGAGAGGCACTTGTTCACCGCTTCTAACAGCCCGGGCATAGTAAGCGACATGTCTTTCGCAAAGTAATAGAGGAGTCTCGGGAGGAAGATCTTTGATTCCTTGTAATTGTAGACATTTGCTTGAATAAAATCCTCTTTAGCAAGTTTTAAATCCAAGAAAATATTTTTTGCTGTATAAACTCGAACCTGCGATCATGGTGACTACAGTTATGATCTACTAAAGGACTGAATCACACTACTTTGTAAGAGAGCAAATCATGGTACCGGTGGGTCGGAATATGCGCCTGAGCAAAGTGCAAAATGAACAAGCGGCTCAGGATATTCTAAAGCATAGAGATGTCCGCTACTGCCTGGCTTGTACTTTCTTCCTGGAGTAAGCAGCGTTTGTAGCCACTGAATTCACGAATAAAGTTAGGAGTTTTAATGTTACCATGCTTGAAATGAGTTCTCGGATGCAAATAACTTTCATCTCTATATCCAACAAAACTGAATGGATAGGTTGATGTAAATGCATGCATAACACCTAATAAAAAGATTGTGCCACATGTTAGGAAATCATACCGGTGCCGAATGACTTGATCGGATTCCTAAAATTGCGCTTTGTATGATATAGGCATTAATGCAATGTCCACCCACGTTATAAGCCGCCTGAAAAATGAAATCGCACGATGACATAATATAAACCGAAGGCACCATTCTACCTGACAAATCTCTGGAGCACAATCTCACCTTCATTATAGTGGTGCTCTTCACACGCCCGCCCGTTCCATAAGCTAAATAAGCCTGCAACAGATATACCAAAGACACTCAGCGATGTGTTCAAGATTAACCTGGTTAGTTCAGCAGGTAATAAGATAAAGGAATGTAAACGAATTGCTCAGTCATCTGTCAAAAATTAGTGTCATCTCAAATTGAATCTCTACTGTACAATGAAGCAACCAAGTACAAGGAAGGGCATTACATGCATCACCAGGGCATTGTGAATATTGATCCAGAAAGCAAGTTTCTCCTCACGTTTCATCTTTCTTGGGTCAATGTCCTCGAGACAACGAACCAATGACCTGAGTTGGTTAGAATATGGATAAATCAGGAAAAAAAACCAATTTTCTCAACGTAATATGTGCAGAGCTACAGTATGACTGGATTAAAAGATTTAGGACGTGCTTGGTGAGTGAAGTCAAAGCCATGCTATTATGTCATTATTATTTTATTAGCCATGGACCACCTGAACTTTTGCAGCATCGTAGCAGCAAACTTGAAACTTTTATCATCCAAACATATCTTGAGAACTTCTACCATATCGCCATATCTCCCGCTCTCCTCTCTCAATCCCTGAAGTTGGTGCACCGAAATCTCCTCATTCCGGGATGGGCTCCAACTATCTCTGGGGTTGTGAGAAGAAAATATGCTCGAGGAGGACAAGGACGAAGTTGGTGAAGCGGATGAGCCAACTTGAATGTGAGTGGGATCCGCAAGCTTGCAGTATATTGAAGATATGCATCTCACTATATCCTCGGAGAGTCTCTCTGGAGTTCTGAGAGAGATGTCTTTGGCTCCGAGGTGATCTGCGAGGCTCCTATGACCGAAATTGGCATTTTTATGGTCCTGCAAAATCATTCTCCCATATATAAACGATGCAGATAAAGAAAAAGACATACATGAGTAGTGGTAAAAGTTCAATGCAAAAGAGCAACTTGAATGCTCACCCGCGCAGATATTGCTTTGAAACTTGAAGCACAGCTCTGATTATCTGAAGAAACCCAGCACTGCGCGGGGGAAGATTGGAAACTACGCAGGAGGCCATTTCGCCTAATGTGCGGCTCCGCTTTCTGCTTGAGTACACTAGGCATTTTCCGTGATGGTGACCTAGCCTTGCTCTGCAACTTTGTTTCCGAGACTTTTGCTAGAGTGGACGTGTGCTCTTGAAAAGCCGTCCTATAGAGCGAAAGAAGATAACGCTCCAAGTGCATAATTTCAACCTCAAGTGTGGCAATCTCCTTCCGTAGTTCCACAGTGGACTGCATACAAATCCAGATGTGGCTTGGTAAAAATCGTGTAAACAGATTATGACAATCAACAGAGTAAATTCTTTTTTACATTCTAAAGACAGTTTGTCGCTGTTGTTCAGAACACTCTGCTCATATGTAGTTGCAGAGACTATGAAAGACAAGTACAAATTACAATAACTACTATACTATACCTGTTGACAAATTAATTTATATAGTTAAAGAAGGATAGAACGAGAACCTTATGCGATGGAGTGCCATTAGAAGGAATATATTGTACAGAATCACAGCTGACTATCTTTTCAGCATCCCAATATGCGGAAGTTTGTTCAGGTGAAGTCCTCTCCAGTTGCACAATCTGGGTAAGACGCAGCAAAGTGATTTATAAATAGAGGTTCTGTTGTAGTCATTCCCTATGTAAAGTCTCAGACTCTCAACTCTCACAGATGTTATTGGGTTTGCAATTGAAAATGCAATAATTGTAATGCTAGATCAATAAACAGAAGCGAAGATGTAGCAACCAAGGCAAACGGCAGGGTTCTGGACTAGCAGGTGAAAGAATTGATATGAAAAATACATTGCTGATCATGTTAAATAAGGTAGGTATCCATAGTTAGTACTTATGCTTCGTACTCCTTTTAGTGGTCAAGCAGAGAGTGCGAAAATTCAAGTGGCATGGCTTCAGCTCAAAGGGTTAGCTTTAATAGCAAGCCAAACCAACATAATTATGAGTCTCAAAACTCCATGATGAAATTGCCCTCAGGTCATTCAAGGTAAAACAAACCCATGATTGCCCAATCTGCATGTAAGGGATGAAAATGGAAGTGGTTTCGGCCGGCAAACACTAGTTTGAAATCCAAACTCAATTAGCATCATCTGATCTTCAATAACCCGATCAGGACAGACCACTAAGGTTGAGCAATCCGTCATGAGAAATCAACTACTGTTTGTACTCGCACAGTTAACTGCACAATTTTTCAGAAGTGAGATTTATTAATCTATTCCAATGGCTATGAGCTCGACCTATTGCCAGAATATGCACGTCTGACTATTGACTGGAGCTTACAAACTAAGTACTCTCACGGACAAATCAGGAAAAGCAAAACTCAGAGCCCGTATTCTTGCATGCACGTCCATAAAAAAATGTGCAGATTACTCACAAAATTAGAAGTGGACAAGAGCCTCGGCGATGCATTCAGTATATTCCTGTAAAGCCCGTTTTCACCGGCACTGCAATGTGCTATCAGTCAGTGTCCCAAGTGAAGGTCATGAATGAAAAACTTATGCGTCTGATCCCGTAAATCCTTTTCTAAAAATCTAACCTTGGTGAATTTAGATGTGAAGGAGAGAGGAAAGAAGAAGAGGAAGCCCTGCAATTCACGCCCATCATCTTTCTATTTCGCTTGTGATCGTCCTGTTGACTCAGAGAAAATGTTGAACCACAGTTGTAGAGCCGAAAAAGTAAACAAAAAGAAAGAAAGGAAGCGAGATCACAGCTTCAACTATTGAGGTCGTTACCTCGTTAGCTGCTAAAATTGAAGGCTTGAAGCTTGAGTCCACACATTGTCAACGACTTGAGACCTCACAGAAACACTTCTTCAGGTCCTGAATATATAATATCACCTGCTTGAGCATGAGCAAGAGGAAGAAGAAGATAATGAAAACAATGTGGAGTCAAATAAGCTGACATAGCTAGTTTTACAGTAAGATATGGGCGTCCACAAGTAGCAATCAGACGAACACTCACCAAATGCAGAATGTCATTCAACAAACAAACCGTCCAAGAATTTAAAATAAAATTACCAAGAGAATATTTTGATGAAGCAGATGAACGGCCCACTTCAAGTTATGAAGTGGGTGTGCTCTGTTTCCTCCCGAAATAGAGAGTAGGAAAAAAAAAATAATAGGAGAAAATGGGTTTGTTTAAGAAGGCATCTCAAGATCACAATCCCACACAACCTCTGCGAGTAGGGACAAGGAAAACAGAGAGAGAGAGAGAGAGAGAGAGAGAGAGAGAGAGGTGTTGTTGAATGGGGCATTAACAAGACAATAATGATGAGTCATGAGGAGAGCAACTGTGACTGTCTTTCTCCTGAGGAAAAGACCATAATTAAACAAAACCCATATACTCATTAGATTAGGTGGTGGAAAGTAAGCAGTTCATGATTACGACTAGCAGAGAGAGAGAGAGAGCCAAAAAGGCAAGGTTTTGCCTACCTTCTCCACTTACAAACCGCCTCATGCAAAAAAAAATTTCACTTCATGAACAAGAACAGAGACGATGTCCATAGAAAACTACCTGTCTTCTTCTACAGCAAGAACAAACAAACAAACAACATTAATCAGCTACAGTGACTCAATCTCAATGCAAGCCCATGAAAATAACACTACTTGAATTAAAACAGAAAAAAAAAAAACTTCAAATATAATGGATGATAAACATATTGCAGATATATGAGTGAAGAAAAGGGTGCTGAAACTTAAAGAAGAATTTGACCAGATGCTAATCTTTCATCACTTACCAGAACCCAATTCTTGAAAAGTGGTTGTTTGGTATGCTGGGAGGGAGGGAGGGAGGAAGGGAATAACAAAAAAGATCCAAGGGCATCAAGTAACATTATTTTTTTGACACCTGTATCTTGTGCATTAAACGCTTGGGGCTCAGTCGGCAGATCCAGAGTGGCCTTGAATTCCTAAATGCAATTCCCCACGGCTGAAGTATCCTCACTGTCACGAGTGGCTCTCCCTCACTTACCCTTCAGAGACCATGACCCCAACTTCGATCAAGGTTAAAAAAAAAAAAACAAACAATTTTAACTTCTGTCTTCTTCTACAGAAGAAGAATAGCTACTACTGTCTTTAAAAAAAGTTGGGTTGGTGTGGAGTCAAATCTCAAACTGAAAGTGTTAGGACTTGGATTTTACCAAAGTGCTGTTCATTACTGAGGGGGCACGGGGAGAGTGAAGAGTTAATACACTTTCCGACTCTTGCCTTCCACTACCGAGTCAGACACCGAGTGACACCACGAAGAAGATGAGATTCTATGCCCACTTCCAGCTTCCTCAGCACTCAATCTTTTCATCTTTTTTCCACTGGCAAAAGGGCCGGACAGGTATGGAAAAATGAGAAAAGGCGAGCAATGTCCATTGTCCAAACATTGAATTTCTCGGTTCCTGAATAATTGTCCTAGCCCCCCTTTCGTTAATGGTCCCCGAAATTAATACCGCGAAGCATGACCAGTGACCTCCTCCATAGGGTCGTGTTTTTTATGAAGCGTCTGCTTCCCCAGCTATTAAGGAGATGTCCCGGATGGGTCTCGTGAATGAGCGCCTTCGGGAGATCCGCCAAATATTCAATTAAGGAAAGTCCGTGACTTTCAACGTACAATCCCTCGTGTTTATTCGTAATCAATGCATTGAAAATAAGAATATCGTGTATTTAACATGATCATCAAGTTTCCGCGATACCCATTATTAAATCATAAGTATTTAAATTTGTCAAACATTAATCGCATATGAAACGAGAATTATATGCTTTTCAGGATTAACTATTTAACGCGAGCCTCAACAGCTTTCGTTAATAAAAATCTTCCTCCATATAACATCAAAGGTCTCGTCAAATTCCTATCCTCTCGATAGAAAATAGGGAAATTTCCATTGCTTATCAATGCAGAGAAGCTGATGATAATCATTAGGGAATTCTGCTTTACGTGAAATTGGGGTGTGGAGGTCAAAGCGTTGACCAGGTGCAATTCCGTTAAAAAGGTGATTGATTAGCGAGGGACAAGAAAAATGACATGTTAACCGAACCTTACGACTAATCAGCAGATAATGTAAGAACGGCCGACAAAACTCGCATGATGGGAAATAAAAAGAATTAATATATTTTTATTTATTTATTTAACGCCATGAAGGAAAGTGAAAAAAAATAATAATAATTGGGCCTTGGCTGTCGCGAGGGGGTGTGGTCAGCCTGCAGGTAATGATAATGGGGGCCGAATAGATGCTCTGACTCCATTTCGTAAAAGGCGAGGAGCAGAGAGGGTCAATATGGTCAATTCACGCGTCCATGAATTTCTCCAAATTAAATTTCTTACTATTATTATTATTATTATTATTATTATTATTATTATTATTATTAGTATAATAATCATCATATTATTATTATTACGACTATTATTGTACGTGAAAGTGTAGGGGGACACGCATACGCAATACGGCATTCAATGGGCGGTAAAGTTGAGCGCGGGAGTAGATTCGCTCGCTTGATCGCCCGATCTGAGGCCCACCAGATCTGGGCCCGGGCCCGGGCCCAGGCCCAGTATCAGATTTTTTTGTTTTATTTGGGATGGAGGAATTACACTTTAAAAAACACCATCAATGTATGAAAGTATTTTACAAGGTGTTAATGAATGTAGGTACAAAAGTGGTATTGCTTAAATTTTCCTTTATGGCTAAATTTTTACACCGGTTATACATGCGATATTTAAAATGTGTTTTTTACTTTTTTACTTTTCTAATTTTAACATCTGACATATGGTATCTATGAAATATATCTCGAATTTAGAAAAGTTTACAGACACGGATGTGTAAAGGGCATTTGCAATCGTGTACAATTTTTTAATAATGTATTTCTAGTTAAATCATTCTTTTTCTTTAAGTGGGAAAGTTAATGAGTAATTTTGATTGAAAAAGTGAAAATAACTGCAAAATAAATTTTCCTGAAGTCTCTTATTCACCGAGGATATGGCTATTGTTATGGAGCATAATTAGAAGTTGCAATCGATACAACTACTTCCTCCTATCTTTATTATAAGGGTCTCATACTCATTAAAGAATATGTTCGATCTGAGACATATCTGCTTAGTCCACCTAGAATTTAAAGGTTTTAGATTAACGAGTCTATCATCGCAGCCCACTCACTAGCATGCCTGAAGCTGGAAAGTTTCCTTACACAAGATAGCAAATATGCTTTAAAAGCACAAATTGGTTAGAGATAAGTACAAGATTTGAATAGAACTTTTAAACCTCATGAAAGATGAGTAACTTCTTATCATTGAGCCACAACCATGGACAGTGAAACCATCAAATGCTTTATGATGCTTGAGATAGCTATATATTCCATAGGAAGGATAACATGGAATTTTCAACTCAAAATACATTGGTCACAATTACTAGAGAAGTTATTCACATTTATATAGATAGAGAATGGAGATAATTAGCCAATGCGCAAAAGCATAGACAAGAGAAGTTTAGGGTTGACCACTGGTCAGCCTGCAGGTAATGATAAATTGATAATGGGCTCCATTTTGTAAATGTGGAGGAGCAGAGAGGGTCAATATGGTCAATTCACATGTCCATTAATTTCTCCAAAATAAATGTTTTATTATTATAATTATCATGATTATTATTATTATTGTTATTATTATTGTACGTGAAAGTGTAGGGGGGGGACGCTCACGCTCATAAGCATAACGGCATTTAATGGGCGGTAAAGTTTAGCGCGGGAGTAGATTTGCGCGCTCGATCGCCTGATCTGAGGCCCACCAAATCTGGGCCCAGGCCCATTATCAGATTTGTTTTTTTTTTTTTTTTGCATGGTGGAATTATACTTTAAAAAACACCATCAATGTATGAAAGTATTTTACAAGGTGTTGATGAATGTAGGTACAAAAGTGGCATTGCTTTAATTTTCACTTATGCCTAAATTTTTGCACCGATTATATATGCGATATTTAAAATGTGTTTTTTACTTTTTACTTTTCTGATTTTAACATTTTACGTGTTGTATCTATCAAATGTATATCAAATCCGGAAAAGTTTACACACATGGATGTATAAAGGGCATTTGCGACAATGTATGGCTTTTTAATAATGTTTTTTTTTATTGAAATCACTCTTTTTCTTTAAGTGGGAAGGTCAATAAATAATTTTTATTGAAAAAGTGAAAATAAGCTGCAAAATAAATTTTGCTGAGGTTTATTTTTATTCACCGAGGATATGGCTATTGGTTATGGAGCATAATTAGAAGTTGTAATCGATGCAACTACTTTCTCTTATCTTTATTATAAGGGTCTCATACTCATTAAAGAATGTTCAGTTTGAGACTTGATGTTTAGTCCATCTAGAATTTTAAGGTCTTAGATTGACGAGTTTATTATCATAGCCCACTCACTAGCATGCTAGAAGCCAGAAAGTTCCATTACACAAGATAGCAAATATGCTTTTTAAAGCATAAATTGGTTAGAGATAAGTGCACGATTTGAATCGAACTTTTTAACGTCGTGAAAGATGAGTGACTTCTTCTCATTGAGCCACAACTGTGGACGGTAAAACCATCAAATGCCTTACAATGCTTGAGATAGCTATTCCATAGGAAGGATAACATGGAATTTTCAACTCAAAATACGTTGGCTACAATTACTAGAGAAGTTATTCTCATATATATAGATAGTAAACAGAGATAATTAGCCAATGCGCAAAAGCATGTATAAGAGAAGTTTAGGGCATGATTGTTTGCATTTTGTAGTCAAGATTAATAAAAAAATCCCAAATGAATCCACGTACCAACACTCGAGAGCGTTGTGAAAGTTTCAGGAATGTACCGTTCGGTGCCTTCATCTTCACGTAAATGGCACGATAACGGGCTAATCGTTCTCGAGTGTAGCTAATTATAGTAAATTAGACCAAAGCAAGGTTAAATTTTTTTTCTTTTTGGGGTCGAAAAGCAAGGTTAAATCGAGAGGATTTAGGTCCACCCCCAACAACCCATTCTCTTGTGAATGGCATTTATGACTGATTTCAGTACAAGGAACCAAAACCGGCCCTTATTTATTTATGGGGATGCCTACGCTTGTCATTAAAATCGGGCATTCCTTGGCCTCAAAACTTGGGACCATAGTCCAGTTTTTTATTTTTTATTTTTTTCATTTTTCGTGTACTTGGGAACTTCATCAATGGGGACCGATATAAGTTCTGTGGCTCAAGATATTTGCACTGGTTTCACATTTATTGTATATATATTTGTCTTTTTGCTGTCCCCTTCTTCGTTTTCTTCTTCTTTTTTTAAATTTCTTTGTGAAGGCCATGAAAGGTTTACTTGATTGAGCTAGTTGCTTTCAATACAAGATATGCATTTGTTCCCGTGCTAAAGAACAAAACCTATCTATTGATTTGATTCTATTGAGGCGTACCTTTGGAACCCTCGTTAAGTACGATTAGTTTGGAATAGTTCAAATTTTAAAGTATTAATTTCGCGCAACACGAGAACAGTTCCAAATATTGGAAAGTTTCGTTAATGAATTGTTTAATTTTTATTCACAGGATACTCATCAACAAAATCCTTACTAATTTTGCTAACAAAAACTCCTCCGAACTTTTATGCATGTTTTCTCAATTTTGATAAATATTTGGAAAGGCCATTTGGAGGGAATATTAAAATCTTTCAATCTAATGGAGGAGGAGAGTCCAGTCAAGCAAATTTCTTAATTCATTTGCAAAAGAATGGCGCTATTAATCAAGTATCTTGCCCAAATACTCCGGAGCATAATGGAGTTGCCGAGCAAAAACATAGGCACATGTAAAATTGGCTTGACTATACTTCTTTCTTGATTGATAAATCAGTGCCTTCACACACACATATATATCCCCCCAAAAATAAGCTTAAGGGACCCTTTTTTTTAACCACCTCCTTAATCTTAAAATTTACGTCCCCGCCATTTTCTTGCACGCAGGGCAAATGAAAGATAAGTTTGAGTGCCGTCAGATGTGAAAACCAAAGAGGAGTAGCTAGGGTTTTTGCAATCGCCATGGCCCATTAATTTATGATATTTTTCCACATACTCGACCGTCCAGGACACAGTTGGCGGCTTAGGTTCAGGCAATAAATAAGGTAAAAAAGCAAAATTGAATTAGCTGAATTGATTTCATGGTACCTCACCTACTTCATTCAGCTCATGGACCAATCAATATTTCCCTCTCTCTCACGTTTTCTTTTCGTGTTCGGAAACGAAGTGTGGACCTTGTACTATTCGTTTCATAATAGCCAAAGTGGACCTTGTATTGAGTACAGATGATCTGAGCCTGGGATCTTGTAATGATTCTAAACTTCAAAAAGGGGTTTGCCTCCGTTTAATATACCAAAACAAAGTATAGACTTTGACTCACTCTGCGACATAAAAACAAAAAGAAAGAAAGATGCTTGTGTCGCTGGCCGACACTTGAGATCGCGACCGTGCAGCACTCAGACTTCGTTCAACCCGTTCGCCGCTTGCTAGAGTCAGCTAAGCTTAGCCTTCCCCTCAAACGATCGCTTGCTCGCTCACTTGACCTTCCTCGGATCGTAGAGGGAAAGATAATGCTACTATTACTCTTCTTTGTTGATATTGTGGGGTGATCCTAATGAAGGGAAAGAAGCCTTTATATATACTTAAGTCCCTTAATTATAACCGTAGATTCCCATTGATCTAATCGCGGAGATTCGATCTCCATATTTACCAGCTAACCCAATTAAATACAAGAATCCTCTATAATACAATTATACATTTCACGTAACACCATCGAGAATATTTACACATGAAACCCTCAATCCTAAGGAGCTTCAAAGCTTGCCCGGTTATCTAGGCTATCTCCTCGGTTTATTGGGCCTTGAAAACCTCCTGTCGGTGACACTTGCGTAGACATGATACACGACTTGCTATGCTACGAAGATCCAAACCCTACAACTTATATGATAGGCTAATGCTATGGACGATGGGCCCTAAACTCTGCAGACTGCAGCATATAGCTGATGGAGAGTGCAAGAATAGAACGTACATTAGATTTAGACATGTCAGGTCGCAAAAACAAAAGAACACATCGACAAAAGTCTCACATAAGTCAAGTCGAACCGAGGCTCTACATGTCAAAGGCACCAAGCATGTATGAGCCAGAGCAGTGATGGAACACTGAGAATTCCAAAATCTCAAATTACATCTCAAGCTATACACACACTTAACGTTCCTAAGTCAGATGAAGCGGAAATAGCCTCTCATCCAATTACAGCATCCTTGCCTTTTGTTAATATAGTCGATTTCCGCATGAAGAGGAATATCGGCGCGTCTCGATATTTCTTGCACCACCATTTACAAGTTTAGAAACTTCGCTCGGATGGCCTATCTCATAGCAATAAGTTGGTTCCATGAGCATCTCTGCCTAACACAAGCCAAAACTGAAACAGCTAATGCACATATTCATGATCTTCCCTCGACTATGCAAATCCCTAATTAGATACAATCGAACTTGTCTCTCTTTTTTTGTTTTGTCGGGTTCTATTTTTCTGGGTCAATATGAATAAGGACTTATCTTTTCAAAATAAGAAAGTGGTCCAACGAATTAAAAGCCCAAACACTTGGGCTTGGTGCCTCGGGCCTGGCTTCTCAACGAAGTCCAAAGAGCCCCAATGCTAACTTGCCCGTAACCAAGTACTTTCAAGACATAAAATACATGTCGCATCGTTTCGGCCGGCATTGACGTGACTGCCGGACGACCGGCGGCCACATCAGCGCCGGACGGCCAAAATTGGTCGGATAGACTCAATTGGCAAGAAGTGAAAAGGTTTAGGACTGAATTGACAAATTTAAAAGATTTAGAATTGAACTGACAAAAGTGCAATAGGTTTATGACTTTTTAGACAATTTTTCCCATGGTTCTCTAATGGTTTAATTTGTAAACTCTACCTAATTTCTTGAAGTGAAGCTATATTTGAAGTCTAGCGAGGTGTATTGGTCGGAAAATGAAATGTAAAACGAAATACAAACAGGGTCCTTTCGATCTCTACACGCTTGTGCAGCTCAAATCAGTGAAGACTCGCTTTAAACATACATTATGAATTGTCGATTTGCGGCTCTGGTGATTGCATCCCCAAAATCTCATTCGCAAGGGATAAAAAACAACTCTGCGATAGGGTAGTCCATTCATTCTTATCATATTTAGGTAATCGGAACTCGAGAATCCGACTAAAGAAGATATTTTACACAAGACACGTGTTTGCGTCCCAATCGTGAATAGAACTGATTGATGTAAATCATCAATCCAATTTGGAGGGTTCCAATCGATAAGAAAAAGAGAGAGGGAGCATGCTTTTTTCCTTGTCTAGTTGTGCACGGGTGAATCAAAGAACGGGACAAATGCAAAAAGGGAAGGAAAAAAGCAAAGGGGGAGTGGGTGGTGGAGCCAAAATTAGGTTGGAAGAATTAGGCTAATGCTCGTGTGCATGTCCTTTTATGAGCATGCTCTTTATCATCCTGCAGTTTCAATTCTTAAATTGTTATCAGAATCTAGTTAACAAGTTTTTCGGGACACTTGTTAAGCGTATTTAGTGAGCAAATATTCGATTTTCAAAGCATTATTAATGCATCTGACGAAAATCGTAAGTGTATGGGAAGTCGTATTATTGCCTTATTTGGTTATTTGAGAAGTATATCGGGATATTTTCAATAAAGTTACATAATTGTTGTTGTTATTGTATCGGGGGCAATGACAAGAAATATAGGTCCCCCAATTGTAGGGAAGTCAAGACAAAAAACTAAAGAGGAGGCAACCACAAGTTGGATGTTGTTTGGATGTCATGGTCACCGTGCATCACAATTCAACTTTTTTTTTTTGGGGTCATAATCAAAGTTTCAACTTCAAGCTCCATCTTTTTACGCCATTATTGTTTCAAGGACCAGTCAACCATTGAGCCCATGAACATGACCTCTGAGCTTTTTTTGATGGGCCCGAGTTCACAAAAAAAACTAAAGATAAAAAAAATTAAGAGGTGGTCACATATAACTATGCAATGGTCCAATAGAGTGTGCATACAATTCAACAAAAACAAAAATATCGGGTCATTTTGAACAATACAATCTTTTTAGGGTTCGCACATGCACGTCACACGATGGCATCCGTCGATGCGCAATCTCCATGGAAACGCTCGAAGGATCGCAGTTTATCTTCAGTTTACAAAGATTAGAGAACCGTTTCGTTTAATTGATTTCGGAATTTCTTCCTCCTTTTTTTCTTTTTTTCTATTGATTCCTATTTCTTGTTTGGTCATTATAGGTAAAGATGGGGTGAGATTGGAAATAAAAAGCAAGATCCATGCACATCAAAACAGGAAGGGGAGACAGAAAGAATCGACAACGGTTAACTTCATTGAATCTTTTGCAAGATTTTTGCCCCTCGTGTGGTGGGGATACAGGCATTGCCCCAGACAGCCGAGACGAGCTGATCCAAGACGAGAACCTTTCGATTGTTTGTCATTTTTATGTTGTCATCTTTCGATCTTGTCGTGGGAATTGATCGATTCTTGAGAATTAGTGGGTTTTTCCTTTTTGAGGATGGCGAGGATGGCGAGGGAGGGAATATCTTTGTGTCACGGGCTTCCACTGCAGATGCAGCAAAAATAGAAGTCAAGAAGAACTCAACAAGGGCTCTGGTACAGCTCTATCCACATGATGTGAGAAGCCCAAGATGGGGGCCATCTTCCTTTTCCTATTCGAGTATCATTTTGATTCCTCTACATTACAATGTAAGTATTTGCATCTGCCTTTTCTGATTGTTATCAAGACACAAGATGACTTGTAGAATATTATAGAGAATAGCTTGCTGGTTTAAAACCTAACTTAGTTAAACTATCTCGAAATATCGTTTCTAACATCTTCGTGCCCTTCGAACCATGTCGGCTCATCTATCATTCCCACCTTCCCCCATGCATAACCATTGGGATAATCACCTAGGTCTGGCCTCCGTATCTGAGTCCGTTAGTAACAACAATTGCCCTATGAAGAGTCGCTTTTACTATGGCTACGGTGGGAATTACCGGCAAAAGTCCCTAAATGACCTCTTAGTGTTCACGAGTTGATCGAGTCGAATGATTTCGAAAATCAACTTGAACCGGCTTAAATGAGGGCCTTTAGGGATAACTCCGCTAGCCCCATTGGGTCCCGAGTAGGCCTGCCCAGCTTGACAAAAAAAAGGATAATGTTAGCATAACAGTCATTGTTACTATAGGAAGTAACGGTGGTTTATGGGCCACCGGTTGTAATGCTAGCATAACACCCGTTGTAATGGAGCGAAGGAAATTTCTATCATAATGCTAGCATAACACCAGCTGCCTTTTTTTTTTTTAATCAATCACATTTTGTGGCCTACACGCCATTGTTACTTGCAATAATAACGGTGACGGTTACTTAAGCATTTCCCAAAAAAATACTATGTGTGTTTTATTTGATAGGTGACTTTAAGCTTCAAGTTATGCCTGACCCAAGAATCTAGCCTAATAACTTCCGTTGAGCTAGATCTATCTCAAAATAGTAATAATGCATGGAAATTGATTTTTTTTCTTTCTATTACTAAGAAGCCCACCTATGTAGGTTAATTTCGAACTCATGAAATACCTCGCTAACTCTATGAATTAGGCAAAACGCAAGTCAAAAACTTGAGTGAATAGCCCAGAAATGAAATTTTGTGCACTTGATAGGATTTGGGAGATCAAGATCCTATTTTGTTTATTATACTTCTCTTTACTCTTCAATGTCCTTGGGAAGGTAATTTTCTTCTTTGGGATAAAAAATCACGCATGATCTAATTCATGTGAACCCAGCTCATACGCGCCGTTGGATGATGTAAGCCTCGCGTGTGATTTATTTGATATAAATGGAAAATGTCAACTTATCTTGCATCTTATAATTTCAAAACCTACTTAAAAACCGACTCCTTTCTTACTGCATATTTTAAGAGAATAATCAAGGATAAGTTGGAAGCTAAAAGCTAAACAAAAATTAACAATTGAACATTTTCTTTTCCCATTCTTTTATCATTGCTCTACCCCTTCTTCTCGAGTACATCCCAAATTTCATTTAATTCTAAAAAATTAGCATAAGCTTGAACAGCATTTCAATCGAGCTACTTGATTAATAATTACAATTATAGAACAAGCATTACGACCTTAGAAGAAATATACTGAGCTCCTGACCATAACTCCCCACCGGATCAATCATATGGAAACTCTCCGAGTCCACCGATCCGATCACTCGCTCGAAACTCGCCCGCAGGTACAAGAGATCGCCGTCGCCGTCGCCCTTGTCGCTCCTCGCCGCCACCGGCAAGACGCCCGCGCCGACGGAGACCGACCTCATCAGCCTCAGCACCGCCGCGTCGGCCGCCGTCATCCGCCGCCGCACCGCGAACCCGACCTTCCTCCCGTTGCAGTACATGGACCAGACCGGCTCGCTGAACAGCGCGTCGCCGCGCCTGCCCCCGCGACGCTCCTCGTCCTCCGCCTCCGCCTTCCTCCGGCCGCACTCGAGCGCGATGCGGAGGAGCCCGTGGCGCATCTCGCGGGCGAGGTAGGAGGTCGGGACGGCGAACTCGAGGAGGAGGAGGGGCGAGGCGCGGGTGTCGTCCTGGAGGCAGAAGCTGACGCGGCCGCGGCGGTAGCCGAAGAAGGTGCCGGTGACGACGGAGGAGCAGTTGGCGGAGGAGGACTCGGCGGAGACGCTGAGGGAGTCCGAGTCGGAGGAGGGGGAGGCCTGGAAGCCGCAGCAGCAGGGGACGACGCACTCGACGAGGGAGCGGAGGGAGCGGCGGAGGCGGACCTCGCGGCCGCAGTCGACGGAGGTGGCGGTGTCGATCATGTGGAGGGGGCCCGTTTGGCTGCCCAAGTCGATCATTCTCATGGTGTTCGACGGAATGGGAGCTCGTTCTCTTTGGTTCTGCGCTATGGAGTTGTGCAGACGATGGAAGACAGGGAGATGGTTATAAATAAGCAGGAGAGCATGAGGGAATGAAAGGTGTAAAGCCTATCAATACGGGGAAAAGAGTGCTAAAGTGGGCCGAGGAATCGTGGGCAATAATTCTGCCCACGAGGGGCCTTTGTGTGGGCCCATTTTCGGAAACACTCCCGGGAGGGGGCGACACCGGCGGTCGGAAGTAGGGGCGAGCATGAGGGAAGGGCGGTTCGGTTTCGAGATGGGTCGCTTTCGGGGTTGCAACACGAGGTGAGCCTCGAATCGATGGCACTTGAGGGATCCCGTAACTTTTTTCGACTCGGGTGATCCATTTTTAGAGTTGAAAAAAATCAACCTAAAGCTGGCATGAAATTGACACTTAAGAATCATGTACCGATTAGGTGATTTATCAACATTATTGTGTCCGAGTCAGTGGGCACGCACCCCTCTTTCAAGTCTGCATTGATTCGACCGATCTAAATAACTTTTAATCTTCAGTAGTCGTGTATGTCTAAAGAAACACATAAAGTTATTTCAAAGAAATCGATTTCTTTTAGAGATTGCATTATGAAAGGTTTCATAATCAATTTCATGATAAGTTTAGACATGTCTAGGTCGTTCCTAAATTACATGAATGATTCCAAGATTAGGTTGGGTCCTCTAATGATTGGCGACATTGTAACGCATAATGATCAATAGATTGCCATGCCATATGGGAGCCGGAAGAGAGTCCAATTACTTTTTGGTGGACAACATCCATAACAAAAAAATGTTTGTGATTGTTCTAGAAGAAATGAAACAAATGAAACAAAAGATATAGCGGAGCAGACTACCATGAGACAAAAGATCTTCTTTCTAGAGAGATTTGATACGAATTAAATAATATTTTTGTTCGAGTTTTTGCCTCTTCTTATTTTTCTGAATGGATTCCTAACTTTTATCTTCTACCAAGACATAAGTAAGTAAGCAGTTTTTATTGCATCTGCCCAAAACCTCACTAATTGATCTTTACGTCTTTGCTGAGTGATCAAGAAAGTTCTTTTTTTTTTTTAAGCTATCGGACTTATGCTTATCTGAAGAGTGGATCTAAGAATGACTGAGAACTCGTCAACGACGAAGGAACAAAAACGAAAACCAGGAAGAAATCGCAGCAGAAACAAGGAAGACACGAACACAAGAAGGACAAGAGGCTGTGAAACCTTTTGAAAAGAGTTGTTCAGTTTCGGTGGAAGTGGGTGACAGGGTGAGACTGGATGGGATGTCCATGCGAGCGAGCCAGCAAAGAGCCGAAGAGCAGTGCACGAGAGAGAGAGGGTGAGAGGCAATGATGAGACCCCTGCGGTCTTCTCTGTCTCGCGCTTTTACGTTCACCACCGATGTTGACAGTCGCACATTCCTAGGCACAATGCGCAGAAGAGAATCCTACGCTTCGATCTTTTGGTTCAGCACGCCCCGAAGCTACACACGGCTCACGCGATGAACATTGAGAAGAGAAAAGAACAGCAACGTTGAACGCACAGGGTCTCTCGTCGGTAAATAGGATGATAAGAGTTCAATCATTTCGAAAGGCTCTATTATCTGAGACTTACTTAATCATAGCCGTGTTCAGTTTAATCATAGCAAAACCCCTTAAGGCCAAGACATGGTGGAATTCATTAATTATGTCATCATAATAAAGCGGGTAAACAGTGTTCATGCAACATAATTTTCAGTATCTTCGTATAATAATAAATCGCGTCAAATAAACAATCCAAGGTGGCAAAATACATGCCGATAACAAGCATAACGGAGAAAACGAGATAGATAATAGAATGATTTGAACTCGTGAATAATTTTGAAATTGTTAATTTTAGAAAAATTCACTCCAAAACCTAAATCTAACATTGGGTTATCACCTTGCTTATCTCATGCTCGCACCACGTCTCTACTTTCACTCACTCTCTCACCATCATCTGCACGCCATCTCCGTCACCTACCTCTCTCTCGTCTAGGAGAGGTAGGATATATTGGATTTGAGGTCGTGCACCTAGGGTATATTGGAAATACCATGGGTAATCAATTATTTGAAAGATTATACATTGTTTAGAGAGGGGACACATTATGTTAAAAGATACATTCCTTGACAGTTGCATATATGAATTTATAAACTTTACAAGGCACGAGAAGAGAGTCCTAGCAAGCGAGGGTAACCAATAGTTGTTCCACATATAGCTGGATATAGAAAAGATACTAGAAAGAAGTAGGTGGAACAAGGGCTTCCACATCCCTCAAAATCATGTTGGGCCACCCTTTCGATAGAACAGAACTTGGATTGATGCACGCCTTCTGCTGCCTTTTCCATCCCTCATGATTGAATTAATTATTGCCAACACTAACACCCACTTCCACCACAATTCTTGAGCAAAAGCTGTATTTGGGTCAAACTGTGAGCCTTTTCTGGCTTAACTAATCTTTCTTTATTCATCTACGAATTTTTTCAGAATGCAAATAAAGCTCAGCTTATTAGATCCAAATCACTAAAAGCAGTCCTCTTTTGGCCCAACTAATCTTTCTTTATTCATCTACGAATTTTTCAGAATGCCAATAGCTTATTAGATCCAAATCACTAAAAGCAGTCCTCTCTCTCTCTCTCTCTCTCTCTCTCTCTCTCTCTCTCTCTCTCTCTCTCTCTCTCTCTCTCTCTCTCTCTCTGAATAGCAATCATGTGGTGCCCCCCTTTTGGTGCCTGTGCCTTACAAGCGCATGGGAATAGGGACATTGATGGGAGTAGCAAAAGGAGTCATCATGCTGTACATGGATATATCATAGTCCTTGGAAGGTGCATATGTGCAAGTTGAAACTTCTCATGCGTACGTATTCAGTAATGCGTTCTGTGGGTTTCCAAGGTCCTTTAAATAATCAAAAGGGAGGGAAAAAGAGAGAGAGAGAATCAGTTGCAAAAAGCCATTATTCGTGGATTTTTGAGAATGGTCACGCCATTTACATCTGCGTATGACGACTTTCCAGTCCACTACTCGATACTTTAAGTTGATCAATGATTCCCTCTTGATCTCTGCATGATTAAGAACAATTTCTTTTGCTGTTTATGTGTCATTAAGTAATGGGAGTGTGGAGTGGTCACATTGTAATGGGGCCATAGATTGTTTGGCTTAACAGATAGGGCATTGTTTTTGAATGATGGAAGCCATCATGGAAAGAAAGCTCTGTCAAGTAAGTTGCGTCATTATTCCTCAATCTGCCTTTAAGAAAGGAGATTAGTGCTGATAATTAAGATATTAAACTCTTAGTTAGCGCTTAGATCATATGTTTCAGGGGTTACTCTTTCAAGGGACTAACTCGAAGGCCCAGCAGCCTCTGCTGCAGCAAACAAGGCCTTTGCAACGGGGGCTTCAAAATCAAGCCCGAAGTTCAGAGTAGAGTTTTTCTTTGACTTGAGAGCTAAGAGGCATGAAGTCTTCTTTTTTCTCCCCATGTTAGGCCCAATGTCTAGGGCCTAAAAATTTGAAGCGAAGGTCTGTAATTATGCACAAAACATTCTCGAAAAAGAAGAATGTATTTTCTCCGGTCTTAGATTTTTTCTCAAACCATGCTTCTAATTGGCAGATTACGTATATGTACATCAATCACGTTAATTTTTGGGCTATATTGATTAAGAATCTTTCGCCAATCATTCTTTTAGTTGTTGGGTTAGGTGATGTCCATAACTTGTAACCCATCAATCAGAAGGGTGGTTGGAGGAAAACGTGACTCTTAACTTTAGTTAAGTTTTCTTACTGTTGATGCACATAACTTGCAACAATCGGAGACATGATTGAAGGAAATTTCCTCCTACAATCATGTATATGATTGATAGGTAAAAAATATTGCATTACAAACACGAGAACTTAAAATCAAATGTGAGGTGATATCTATGTTTGTGACCCATCAATTAGAATCATGAATTGGAAGAAAAACTGGGATGGAGGTAAACACAATGATAAATTGGACACCAACAGCAACAATGTGGGCTTGTGCTTGTTCAGATTCAACCTGATAAGCTCGATCAAATCGATTATAGCACGTTGAGGCAGTGTGCCCATATTTTCGATAAACCTGACAGCGAACTTTTATTACAGAATCGCCCGACGCTTGAAATTTTCGAAAACTCGTTGTTTCCCGGTGGTTGTACTCTAGATCCAGGAAAAGCCTCCATTATGGGGATGAAGTGGCTGATTTAATCGAGAAGGACCTTTTGGAATTTCCCTTCTTAATGAGCGGCGGGGGGAATTCCACCCAAAGCTACTCGAGCTTTAGATGCTTGAAGATGCATGCGTGCATCATGTTGAAGGAGCACCCGTCGCATCTCATCGAAAGAACTTGCCATGCCAGGAGTCATTAAGGCGGACGCAAGATGCTCATGCTCTGGCCCAAATCCAAGTAAACTTTAATGCCAAAGACTCCGAGTTGCTGCGATGGATCGATTGGTAGCAGCGAGACCATCTGCAATACGTTTGGTTTCTTGCAAATAATCTTCCGTAGGGTGCTTGTTAGTCGACAAATAAAATTTTTATGGCTTTGTCGCAAACTGATAGAACTATAATGCTATTGGATCGGTAAATGATGCTGTGAAAGACGCACAAGATGTTATGCGGTAGATTACAGACATAAAAATCTAAGAGACCATGCCTAGTCCCGTCTCCCAGCACTAGTAGCCTTATTGTCTCCGAAGGCTGAACCCCGCTGCTAAAAACCAAGTAGATCACGAGTAAAACATTCGTTGCGGCAGCAGCAGTTACTACTGAAGCAGGTGCTTACGACTCTCCCATTTTGTGTTTACAGGGGTATAAACCCTCCCTACATACAACTCAGAAGCTCTCTCAAAACATCCGCAAGTCTTAAGTACAAGAAAAATAAACCTCATCACGACAAGCTCTCGGTCTTTCTCTATTCTTGTCAAATGCTTCTGTCTTTCTTATTTAGGCTTCTTGAGCTTATGTTGATGATTATCACCAACTTTGGGGAAGCCCTCAACTAGTCGTGATGTGTTCAAACATTCCCAA